TAATAATAATAATGATAATAAAATTGATAATGATGATGATAATAATAATAATGATAATAATGATAATAATGATAATAATAATAATGATAGTGATAATAGAAATAATGATAATAATGATAATAATAATAATATAATAATAATGATAGTGATAATAGAAATAATGATAATAATGATAATAATGATAATAATAATAATGATAATAATAATAATGATGATAGTGATAATAGAAATAATGATAATAATAATAATGACAGTAATAACAATAATGATAATGATAATAATAATAATAATATAATAATAATGATAATGATAATAATAATAATAAATAATAATAATAATGACAGTAATAACAATAATGATAATAATAATAATGATAATAATGATAATAATGATAATAATGATAATAATGATAATAATAATAATGATAATGATAATAATAATAATGACAGTAATAACAATAATGATAATAATGATAATAATGATAATAATATAATAATAATGATAATAATAATAATGACAGTAATAACAATAATAATAATAATAATAATAATAGTAATAATGATAACAATAATAATATCAGTAATAACAATAATGATAATGATAATAATAATAATAATGACAGTAATAACAATAATGATAATGATAATAATAATAATGACAGTAATAACAATAATGATAATAATAATATAATAATAATGATAATGATTATAGAAATAATGATAATAATGACAATAATAATGATAATAATGACAATAATAATGATAATAATAATAATGACAGTAATAACAATAATGATAATGATAATAATAATAATATAATAATAATGATAGTGATAATAGAAATAATGATAATAATAATAATATTAATAATAATAATAATAATAATAATAATATAATAATAATGATAATGATAATAATAATAATGATGATAGTGATAATAGAAATAATGATAATAATAATAATGATAATGATAATAATAATATAATGATAATAATAATAATAATAATAGTAATAATAATAATAATGATAGTGATAACAGAAATAATAGTAATAATAATAATAATGACAGTAATAACAATAATGATAATGATAATAATAATAATAAATAAATAATATCTAGATATAACGAAGAAAAAAGGTATCTTTGTTAAAATCAGGACCAAGATTAGATTTTTTTGTCTTAATTCGAAAACGTGCATGAATAACGTACCTGTAGACGAGTCCTCCAGTACAAGACTCCTGAAGGGCTCCACCGAACACGCAGACGTAGTACTGGGAGCAGTCAGTCGGGTGCGGGTAGTAACCGAAGTCTTCAGGACAGTTGAAGTCGGCTACTTCGGATTTGCCGGCCGGGACGCGCTGACGTCGACGACCTCCGCTGATCGATCTCTGCTGACACGTCGCGAGTCCTGGAGAAGGGGGGGAGAGAGAGGAAAAAGGGTTATTTGAGGGTGAAAAGGGGTTGGGGTATGCAAGGTGTAAGTGTGTGCAGATTGTTTTGTTTTGTGGGTTTTTCTCTCTTTCGGATGGGATTTTTCTTTTTTCTTTCTTGGATGCGATTCTCTCTCTTTCTTTCTTTCTTCTTTTCTCTCCTCTCTCTCTCTCTCTCTCTCTCTCTCTCTCTCTCTCTTTCTCTCTCTCTCTCTATCTCTCTCTCTCTCTCTCTCTTTCTCCCTCTCTCTCTCTTTCTTTCGATATATCTATCTTGCCTATCTATCTATCAAAAGGTCTATTCATCTATACATACGTGTTCATGCATAGTCAATACGGCGCATTTCTTTTCCATTCCCGCCCTCAGTTAACCCCTAGTATTACACAGTACTTGTTGACGTTGCCGATGTTGTTCAATCAGAAACGCCATCACGGTTAATTATGGTCATCCACGCGGGGAACCGTCATGGTGCGTATGGCGGCGAATTGGGAAGATTAATCACGTGACCTTTATGTATCGAGGGATTTAGCGAGCGTGTGAAGAAGCGGTTCTTTCTCCCCTCTCTTCCTCTCTCCCTCTCCCCTCTTCTCCTCCTGCTTCCTCCCCCCTTTCCTCCTCTTCAACTTCTTGCTCCCCTTCTTCCTCTCCTTCTCTCCTACCTTCTTTCTTCTCCCTTCTCTCCTTCTCCCCTTCTTCCTCTCCCTATCCCCTACCTTCTTTCTTCTCCCCTTCTCTCTTTTCCCCTTCTTCCTCTCCCTATCCCCTACCTTCTTTCTTCTCCCTTCTCTCTTTTTCCCCTTCTTCCTCTCCCTATCCCCTACCTTCTTTCTTCTCCCTTCTCTCCTTCTCCCCTTCTTCCTCTCCCTATCCCCTACCTTCTTTCTTCTCCCTTCTCTCCTTCTCCCCTTCTTCCTCTCCCTATCCCCTACCTTCTTTCTTCTCCCTTCTCTCCTTCTCCCCTTCTTCCTCTCCTTCTCTCCTACCTTCTTTCTTCTCCCTTCTCTCCTTCTCCCCTTCTTCCTCTCCCTATCCCCTACCTTCTTTCTTCTCCCTTCTCTCCTTCTCCCCTTCTTCCTCTCCCTATCCCCTACCTTCTTTCTTCTCCCTTCTCTCCTTCTCCCCTTCTTCCTCTCCCTATCCCCTACCTTCTTTCTTCTCCCTTCTCTCCTTCTCCCCTTCTTCCTCTCCCTATCCCCTACCTTCTTTCTTCTCCCTTCTCTCCTTCTCCCCTTCTTCCTCTCCCTATCCCCTACCTTCTTTCTTCTCCCTTCTCTCCTTCTCCCCTTCTTCCTCTCCCTATCCCCTACCTTCTTTCTTCTCCCTTCTCTCCTTCTCCCCTTCTTCCTCTCCTTCTCTCCTACCTTCTTTCTTCTCCCTTCTCTCCTTCTCCCCTTCTTCCTCTCCCTATCCCCTACCTTCTTTCTTCTCCCTTCTCTCCTTCTCCCCTTCTTCCTCTCCCTATCCCCTACCTTCTTTCTTCTCCCTTCTCTCCTTCTCCCCTTCTTCCTCTCCCTATCCCCTACCTTCTTTCTTCTCCCTTCTCTCCTTCTCCCCTTCTTCCTCTCCCTATCCCCTACCTTCTTTCTTCTCCCTTCTCTCCTTCTCCCCTTCTTCCTCTCCCTATCCCCTACCTTCTTTCTTCTCCCTTCTCTCCTTCTCCCCTTCTTCCTCTCCTTCTCTCCTACCTTCTTTCTTCTCCCTTCTCTCCTTCTCCCTTTCTTCCTCTCCTTCTCTCCTACCTTCTTTCTTCTCCCTTCTCTCCTTCTCCCCTTCTTCCTCTCCTTCTCTCCTACCTTATTTCTTCCCCCTTCTCTCCTTCTCCCCTTCTTCCTCTCCCTATCCCCTACCTTCTTTCTTCTCCCTTCTCTCTTTTTCCCCTTCTTCCTCTCCTTCTCTCCTACCTTCTTTCTTCTCCCTTCTCTCCTTCTCCCCTTCTTCCTCTCCCTATCCCCTACCTTCTTTCTTCTCCCTTCTCTCTTTTTCCCCTTCTTCCTCACCTTCTCTCCTACCTTCTTTCTTCTCCCTTCTCTCCTTCTCCCCTTCTTCCTCTCCCTATCCCCTACCTTCTTTCTTCTCCCTTCTCTCCTTCTCCCCTTCTTCCTCTCCCTATCCCCTACCTTCTTTCTTCTCCCTTCTCTCCTTCTCCCCTTCTTCCTCTCCCTAGGAGAGGAGGATTGGAAGAGAGGAGGAGAGAAGGAGAGGAAGAGGAGAGAAGGAGAGGAGGAGAGGAAGAGGAGAGAAGGAGAGGAGGAAAGGAGGAGGAGAGAAGGAGAGGAGAAGGGGAAGAGAGGAGGAGAGGATGAAAGGAGGAGAAAAGAGGCCTTTGAGCAAAACCTGAATACCGCAAGAGGGTTAGAGGGTGAGGAGTAAGGGGGGGTAGGTGCTGTTGCGTCACGCCCCCCCCCTTCCCCCCTGACGCTATAGAAGTGGCTGGAAAGGGGGGGGGGGTAGGGGGGATATATGCCCCGACAGTAATTGCCTCATACACACA